ATTTAGTTTTATCGAAACCCCGTCGGGAAGATTTAAAACTTTTATGCTTACAGTAAAATATAAAGGTATTAAATTGGGGATTAACAAACTTTTAAAATTCATAATAGGTATTTTAGGTCATGTACAATAATTATAAAGTTTGTAAATACAATAATATAATATATGAATCTAACGTCGTAAAAAATGTTTGGTTTTAAACTTATTCATTTAAGAACAAACTGTTATATAAATAATAATCAATACAATATGTAATGATTTTTTATACTAAATATCATTTAACTTTTATTGCTAATCGTATTTTATCGTAAATGGCAAAATAATGTATGTATTGAGTATTTAACGTATGAACGATAACCATTTTCAATTATAAACAAAAATATCAACATTTTATTGAGCTAATTAATATTTTTAAGAATTTTATCATATCTTTAAAGAAGTTATTTTCTAACATTATTCTTACCTAAATAATTTCATATGTAGAACTATTTTGTTACTCTCGTTATCAGGTCCCCACATTATATTTTTGCCCTGGTAATTGGTTTAGAACTAAATTCGGGCCCTCAATATTTTTCTAATATATATTAAAGTAATTATTTGCATGAACGACGGACTCTTTATAAGTTCGGGTATCTGTACAATAGGTCCTTATGACCTCCCCCCTTGAAGAGGCCCGGCTCGTTATTCAGATTCCTGAATAAGATTTTTATAAATAACTCCCCTCCTCCGCTCCGTTTGAAATTAATTTTATACGACATCGATTTAAACACARAGTCAGTAAGTATTTACTAAAGATGTTATGATGTATTGTAGTAATTTATTATTTACATAATATAAAACATAATATTATACCTATTGCAATTTACAGTATTACTCTAATTTTTGTACATGTCGACTCAACCATCATAATGTATTTTTATAAATGCGATGGCCCATATTGTTTTTGAAAATCAACAATACTGGTTAAAKCTTAAAATAGCATTACGAGTTTCATAATATTTACAAATGATCAGTAGTTGTATTCATTTGGCGATAGTATTCTTGAGGAATTTGGATTTATTGATTCTATGTCGATGTTGCGATGTATTCTCGACACGGAGGAAAAACTGTTTTTAAATTGTAAACAATATTTATTTAATTAAATACCGCCAATGTCGACACTCCACATTGAACATTGAACGTAGATTAACTTATCGCGTATTATATTGTATAGATGTATAGTGTAGACTATATAATGTTATCCTGCAGTGATTATAAAGTTTCTGTGACGTTTAATTTATACGATCATGTTATAGCCCATACGATATACAATGGTCGTGGAAAAAGTCGTAAACATAATATGGTAAGTACCTACACAGCGCTACGAATAAAACTATTTACAATCATATATAACACGAGTAACACTCGCGCGCTTATACACACACACTCGTGATTTATACACCGGATTGTGTACTTAAGACTTAACTGTATAAATATCACCCGGATGCAATATAATATATTATATATAGTGCTGTACCTACTACCTGTACGACTTGTGTCGCATCTGCTGCAATATTTGCATGTACATTGCGAATATCGTGCGCACGTGATGTTGCTGCTGTAGGTATAGTCTTAAAATATATGCACTATATCGGGAAAAATAAAGATTCCGTTTGGTCCTCCAAACAAACGTAAAATTCGTGTGAATCCACTTTAAAWATTGCTGGTTTATAGTATATATACGTATATACAGTGGGTATAAAGAGACATAGACGTACCTACTCTCTCCTCGGGCATTTTTCTTGGCAAAAATAGTTTCAATTTAATCATCTAATTTTTAATATAACATCATGTGAGAAAAATAACTCATTAATAATTTTAAAATTGGCGAAAAGGTGAAAAATGGCCCATCTTGCCTCCTTTTTGATCGCTTTTGGTTGGGTACTTGTTTATCCAGTTGTTGCAACTAGGGAGGGCTTAGCCTCCTGACTCAGTATCGAATTTATTAAGTTTGAAGTTCCATATTATTTTCACAATAATTCTCTCTTAAATAATTATATTTTCCTATTTTATCGGAAAAATCAGCAATTTATATATTTAATAAATGTGYACCTATATTAGCAACACATTGTTTTAATATTTCTCAGTAAAATAAAAAACAATTAATGATTATAGTGTAGGCTGTTRAAAAAATAATTAAACTTTACGTCGTGACTGTTGATAGCGAATTCGTTAATTACATCGTCGTCATATAGTTAATGCTCTTTGTCATCTCTACTCATATACATGTTTATGATTGCCAATGAATTTAAACTTTCTTCCTCGATAATAGATCTTAAATATGATTTTATTAGAGAAAGAACGCTCAGTGTTTTTCTGATTCGTAACTTGTATATGAATGCAGAAGCTATCTTTGAGTTATACATCAGYATTCAATATATAACTATTCAAAAAATTTCTTTTTAAAAATAACCCAAATTTCTTGTTTATGGTTACTTTAGGTATTATCAAAATATTAAATGACTTAAGTTAATGAATTTAATGACAGCGATTGCATAATCGTGGTATTGATGGAAAATGTGTAGTTGAATCATGTACGAATACATTTTAAAGTTCAGAGAATTTCAAGTGTACCTATACAATATTTTATTTTGCAAATTTAAAAACTTTTTTATTTGATATCAATTTATAATTAATGATATAAAATGTTGTCTATTAACCTTAGTGACGATGATGTGCTGATGTGCACAATGTGTGCGCATAGTATTTGTTTGACAGTGTACTTGCGCAAATAAACATTACCTATATACGCGGAGGACTGTTCCGTGTGTCAAATTGTTAATTGTAATTAGTTAAGTTTCGTGAAATGTAAAATTATTGATCAAGACTATTATTGGTATTTTCTAAATACTCAATAGGGAYATAATATATCCTGAAATTAATAAATCGTATATTATATGTATTTAATATTTACCCATAAATATAAATTATATTATGGAGCTTTATATCAGTGGCTCATTATTTTGCAGATGAATTTATATTTTRTAAAAACAATAACCATTTTTTTTCATGCAAATATCAAAACTTGAGAGTATACTCATATATTGCGAATATGGAGTATAATACGACCCTATGGGAATCCACTGTTTATAATATAATAAATTTCAATGTGTAAGTACAACTTTTAGTATTAAGGGGTTCGCACAATTTTAGCACCCCCGYAATATTTTAAGTTTATATAGTTGCGTTTTCACGAACTCTGCATACATACATTGTGGCTCGACTGACCAGTTATTGTAGGTCCTCCTCAAAATTTGTCTCGAACAACTGTAGTTCTGGGTATGTCTAGTAACTCACGCAAATTGAACGAATTCCAATTTTTGTGCATAAGTGAAAATAGAATGTATTAATTTATAGTTTAAAAAAAAAAAAAAAATTGTAGCTCCAGATCCAGGTGCGACGTGCCTCTTCTGCTGCAGATAATATAGACCTTTCTATCTAAGATAATATTGTTTAGGTAGGCCGTTTTGGTGACTTCGGTCTTCGAGTAATGAGTACACATTACACAATAATATATATGTTAAAAAAATATAATACTTCAGTAACCTATGACATGACCCCGCGCACGCCCTCCAAAACGTCGACGACGGTGGCGTTCGGGTCCGTTAACCCTTTTTTCACTTTACGCATACCTGTTGCACATCGCMCGCCGCCGACACGCGCCCGCTCGCACGCACACGCACGCGTATGTTTGTAATAATATTCCGCGCCCGCGCGCGCGTGTGTGAGTGTAAGTGCGCTCGCCGCCGCCGCTGCACGCTCGTAACCGCCCGTGACGGTGGGCGGCCGCAGCAGACCTTCACTCCCGGAAGCGAGCGAGTGAGCGCGCGACGGCGGTGGCAACGACGACGGCGACGGCGACGTCGACGACGATTCGGGTCAGTGTCGTGTTGTTTCTCCCGGATCCGCCGCGCGGCGGCAGTCCCCACGACACGGAGCTCATCCGGATCCGCCACCGCGCGCCGCCGCCGCATCAGTACACGATCGGCCGTCGCGCAGCGCAGCAGTCTCTCGCGTCGCGCACCGTCACATAACAACAGCCTATCGCACGTTACAACGTTAATTTTCCGACTAGAAACTATGACTTTTACTGGCGTACTTCGGGTAAGTCTTTCCATCCCTTTGTGTACCCTGTGCAGGACTTATTTTCCTGTACCTGTAGCCTCCAGTACTCTGCTTCCGTTTTATGTATTTTCTTTTTGTTTATATTTCGCCGCAAACCGGATGCGCCGGTCGCAGCCACCTGTTCGTCCGTTTGTYGCTTCTTATTTTTTGTATCTCTTGCGCAGCATTTTTGCTTACTTTCGTCTCACCTGTAGCTCTATCGCAGGAAATTTTAAATAATTTTACCGGCAATTCTCATTATCAAACATTATAGCACACTATCGACATTCATTAAATACTTGGCAGTTATAGAAATAAATATAATGTATTATATATTATATACTATTAGCAATACATAAACCATAATAGTTTTTTCGATAAAATAATTATCTAGTTAAATCAAATAGTTATGGGATTTCTCGTATATATCTTAAAAGGTAATTTCTCACTATATGTATACATGGGCTGTATAGTACATAATATTATAATATTTGTCCAGCCCGAACGCATGACTTTTTACTCGTATTAATATGTAGATATGTAGGAAACTCTTTTACGATTTGACTTTTTTACGACTTAATACACATTATAGAAGCCGTGGCAGTTTCTTAGGTCAAGATCTCCACCCAGCTAAATGCCGATATATTTTCACGTTACTTATGTCCGCTTTAGTTCTGCAATATACATATATATATATATATTACGTAATTTTGTGTTCCGTACAGGTATTATTTTTAATCGAATACAATATTGACACAACAATAATATAATATAGAAATAGCCATTAAATAAAATACTTCCTATTATATCAGTGAACTGTTACTATATATATACTTACCGGAACGTTTTCGTTTGGACAGTGTTATGTGGACTCGTTGGACGAACTGCAGCTGCAGACACTGGACGAGTGCAGCAACGACGATTCCAGCTACGACTCGGATTTTGGAGGCGACGACGATGCCAGCAGTGGTCCACACTTTGGAGGCCATCACGACGACGTCAGCCGTACCACGTCAGACACGCTTGGYGCCGAGTACGCGGAATACGTTAGCGCGGCCGCGTACAAGTCGAGAGTGGACTTTGCACTCAAGCTTGGCTACACCGAACGTCTGGTGCAGACGGCGATCAGCAAGCTGGGCCCCGAACCCACGCAGGATCAACTGTTAGCCGTAAGCTTCTAGGCGATAATATGATTATTAAATTTATTAAGATCTCCGTCGAAAACTCATTCAAAATAATATACATATAATATAAATCCTGRCGTGATGGTAAATCAGTCGTATGTATTGCCTTGTCGCACGTGCATGTGATGTTGGTATTTTAGTTTCAATAGCGTAGGTAATTCTCTCAATTCCCCTTGACGCGGTCACTAACTGATAATTTAGGGTCACCAACGCCAAAAATAACCTTATGCGCATCACAGGAACAATATTTTTGGGTGTTGCAGCAAAAAAAGAATTTTGGATTTAGGGTTATTTATTTTATCTTCTATAGTGTATGCAAATTTCTTAGAGCCACCCTTGGTGCGGTCACAAATATATAAGATAACTGTATGCTCATTGTGCACTAGAACAATATTTGTGGATGTTACAAAAAAAGAAGAATTTTCGATTTAAGGTATTTTAGTTCCTATTGTATAGGCAAATCACTTGACGCCCCTTTGGCACGGTCACTAACTGATAATTTAGGGTCACAAATACAACAAATAACCTTATATGCTCATTGTTTACGAGACAAATAATTGTAGGTATTGTCAAAAAATTAARAATTTTTAGATCGAGAGTCATCATTTTAAAAATCTTGAGTCACATTKCTCGAGTTTTTGCCATATTTAATAGACTTAATTTAATTGACTCGGCGTGGTKTACTGTGTAGTACCTAAAAGATTGCTGCAGAGATCCCATWGGCGTGTTCACGGATTTTACCTGTCAAGCACAAGCATGATCTGCGAAATTTGATCTAAATTTGAAAGTTAAAATTCGGGGCTCATATCCCAATACCCTWACATRATTTTTGATTGGRGGTATAGTTCCCCCTTGGATATGCTACCGTTGTTCATGATGACCTGCAGCGAATGCGATCTATACACGGCTATGAGAGACCCTGCTGTAGTGTCCCTCCTTGTTATGTATATGGGCTGAAKTTTTTCGTATGTTTATATATAATACTTCAACGTTGTTGTGCTGCAGGAACTGATCAAGCTCGGCGCGCAATGCGGTCACAAGTTGCACTGCGAGTCYGACGGCGAAGAAGCGCAGTCGAATAACACCAACGACCCGTTGCTTAGTCCTCAACCGCCCAAACTCCGACACATCGTCATCGACGGTAGCAAYGTCGCCATGAGGTATGTGTTAGATCGTGATAATATTCCTGTCGATCGTTGTCACTCATGCAATAACTTTTTGTTTTTGTTTTCTGTCCTGCTTCCTCTATAGCCACGGGAACAAAGAGATGTTCTCGTGTCGAGGCATCAAAATCTGCGTCGATTGGTTTCGGATGAGGGGTCACACGGACATCACGGTGTTTGTACCGAAGTGGCGAAAAGAAGCTTCGAGGCCGGACAACAGGAGGATCATTGGTAAGTGGTCGACTACAGTTGAAGCRTCCCTGTAACCAATAATATTATACTATGTAGGAATAGCCCGTTGTACATTGCAGATGGTTTAGAGACGTTGGGTTACTTTATGATTAAATATTTAAATAACTAAAATAGATAGTATTGTTATATGTTATTAAAAATGGGTAGATATAGGTATTAGTTATAGTAGAAAAMATTTGGCGAATAATTGTTCTATTGATCTTTAGTGCATCAGACTACGGTGCTTAAATTGCTCAATAATATACGAATTTATCGCGCCGATCCTATAATGAGCTGGACAGTGTGCAGTGTCGTTAATTTATACTTTATAATTTCCGAGGTTTTATAACACGTCACATTGTCACCTATATAGACACATTTCACATATTATACAGTGTCATATCGGTCTCCGGCCATTATAGTGCGGTCGTTCGTCAATACTATAATAGTTAATGCGAGGTACATTATTGTTAAGTAATTAAAAATTAATAATATGTAAGTAACTATTCCTTTAGTAGTTTATTCTTGTTATAATTCGATTTAATTAGTTGGGACCTTAGCATAATATTTCGTTTAATATATTTTTTAAGGGAGAAACGGTTATGTCTGAAAAAACAGAGTCCTGCAATATAATAGTTGTTTAGGGCCTGTAATATTGAATGCGCATAAAATTTAATTATTTTTTTTTCGTTCATTCAGACCAAGATATCCTGACGGAATTGGAGCGGGCCAGGATGTTGGTCTTCACACCTTCCAGAGAAATCGGTGGCAAGCGYATGGTGTGCTACGACGATCGGTACATTCTGCGCTTGGCCTCGGAACTCGATGGCGTCGTCGTGTCGAACGACAATTACCGAGATCTGGCCAACGAGAGTCCGGCGTTCCGTTCAGTCGTGCAAAACAACATCCTAATGTACTCATTCGTCAACGACAGGTAATAAGCGTATAATAAATGATGACGACAACGCGTCGTTYCGATAAACGTGTTGAATTTAAACGGTTGGTCGTTTGTTGTCGCCCAGGTTCATGCCGCCGGACGATCCGCTTGGCCGTTCGGGTCCTACCCTCGACGTGTTCCTCCGGAGCAAAGCGCCAGGCGTCGGTCTGACCGCCGTCAGCACGGAGACGTGCCCGTACGGCAAAAAGTGCACGTACGGTAACAAGTGCAAGTTCAGTCACCCCGAGCGCGGCCTGCAGCCCGTCAAGTCCGTCACCGAGCGACTGATGGAACACGCGCAACGGCAGGGTTCAGCCGGCCGACAGATCAAGGGCAAGTCCGTCAGCCTGCCGCTGCAGCAGTCCGGCTGCAACAACCAGCAGAAGAAGCCGCTGACCAGAACCATGTCCAACGTCCCGCCGGCGACCACCCACCACAATCACTCCAACCACCCGCACTGGGTGGGTGGCGGTGCGTGGACGACGACTCCTCCGCCGCCGCCACCGCTGTCTAGTTCGAACAACTACAGGGGCCAGTCCGCCGAGTCGTCCGAGCCCGAAGACTGCAGCAACTTGCACCACAAGTTGCAGCGGCAGCTCACGCTGAACCCGACCTACGACCCGCGACTGGTTCACCTGCGGCAGAGCCAGCACTGCAACGTGACGCGGATAGCGTCCGCGCCGCCCGTGCCCATGCCGCGGCCGCAGCCGTCGATGAACTTGCCGCCGCACACGGTGGTGGCCGCCAGCTGTTCGGACCCGCAGATATTCCCCGGTTACCACGAGGCCAGGCAAAAGCTGTACTACCATCTGTCGTCGATATTCCCCGAGGAACAGGTGTCGGCGGCCATGCAGTACTACCCGAACGAGACCAACCCCCAGAAGATCTGTGCGGCCATACTGAACATGTTCTCGAAGACGTGATGTGTSCATGTCGTGCTCTGCGCGGGGACACCTACCGTGGTCCGTTCTCAAGTGATTTTGTCCGACAATATAATATTATATTAGCTTATCGACAAGACGGCGACACTCGATACAATGTATCTGATTATTTGTGTGGATTTATTCTTAAATCATGTATGATATTTGTATAGACTATTATGTTAATTTTGTACATTGTGCTTATTTTAAGTCGATATTTTTCTATGTTTTTGTTAACCTGTGTCAAACGTGTATGACAAATCGCGGTATTAATAATAATAAGATATTTTATTTTTTATTATCTATCTTTTTATATACCTGGTATTTCGATTCACACGATAATTTCTGTACCATTGGTCTCATATGGTGATTATCTACGAGCTTCCATCGCTTAACAGTGTAGACTTTTTATGTAAATGAGTAATTTTCTTCACGGCCCTAATGTAAAATGTTTGTATCTCATACTCTGATGGATGAAGATAGGGGTTAGTCGTAGACGTGCAGCCATTTAAGCTTACATTTCTTAATAATATGAATAAAGCATAGATAATTTGTAAGAACAGAACTCCACGAAAGAGAAATCA